CTCACCTAATAAGCTGATAAGCCTGCAAGACTATCTACTGAGTGAGGAGTGGGTCTGTGTTCCATTTAAACACAGGAAATGAAAGAACAAAATCACAGCTCCCAGCTATGGTAGAAAGAGGATTTCAATGTAGAATTCAAGTGTAGCTTTTGATATTTATGACCAATATTGTCCAAATCAGTAAAGATTTTTTTTTAACCTGTTGTACAAAAATTCGATTACCCTCCCACCTCTTCTGAAATCGTCCCTTCCCACCGGCCACATCTCCTGTGGTCTCAGACCCCTGGTGCCTGGCATTTGCAGGGGCACCAGAGAGTATCGGTGGGACTTGGCTGCCCCTCCGCACCTGGTGAAGAGTGAGGTCCTTGAAGGGGGCCTCTCCTCTCCTGGCGGAGGGGCGGACAGGACTCTCGCTCACCATTGGCCTTGACGGTAGAATCTGAGATTCCATCTACCCTGAAAAAGGCTGGAGCAGTGCGAAGCAGTGCGGACCCTTGGGAGGGTTGTGGGCAGATGCAGACGTGAGGAGGGAACTGCAGTCATCAGACCCAGTGTGTGAGTGAGTGCTCTGTCGTGCCTGTGGGCACAGGGGCAGGGACCCATAGCTGTGCAGGGGTGAGGGAAATGCCTGGCTGCAGGCAGGGCACCATGCCCATTGGCTGTGTTCCTCGGCCAGGGTCAGCTAGTCCTCAGGGTCCTGGAAAGCAAAAAGTACCGAGGGCAGCAGGTGGTCCACAGAGTTCCAGGCTGGCCTGTCAACTGTCAGGCATCGTGCTCAGCCGTAGACCAGAGTCTGTGGTGGCCTGTGCTGGCATGCTGGGGGGCGGGGTTATGCTGGCCTGGGCCACTCCAGTCTGTAAATGTTCAGCTATCTGGTCAGCTATAACCTAGAGATGGTGATCCTGAGGCTGGCATTGCCAGGGGTCAGTCAGATGCACTTCATGAACCAGAAACAAAGCAACGTAAACCTAAAAAAATGTTAGAGAGTAATGTAGTTGAGAACAGAAAAGCTGTAGAGAAAATTGGCAAAAGTTGTTTTTCTGAAAAGATGGGAAAAAAAAGTCCAAACAGCTATATTGACTAAGAGAAATTTAGACAGGACTCAAAAAAAGGGTTTATTATAAGAGACTATGAACAATTGAGCAACAAATTGGATTATCTAGGTGAAATGTACAAATTCCTAGAAGCACACAAACTACAAAACATTCTATTGGTGAATACTACTAAACATTTAAAGAAAAATTATTACCACTTCTTCTCATCCAGCAAATAAGTGAGAAGGGAACTCTTGATATCTACAAAGCTAACATTACCCTCATATCAAAGCCAAAGGCGTCATAAGGAATCTACAGACCAATATCCCTCTGATATAGATGCAGAAATCCCACAATAAATAATACCAAACAGAATCCAGCAGCAAATTAAAGGATTATACATCATGACCAAGTGGGGTTTATCCCAGAGATTTAAAGTTTCCATATATGAAGAGCGACCTATCCAGATTAGTAGAATGAAGTGGAAAATTCAATCATCTCCACTGCTGCAGAAAAAGTATTTGACAAAATCCAACATCCTTTCGCAATAAGAGAACTCAATCAAGTAGAAATAAAAGGGAATGTCCTCAGCATGATGGCATTTATGAAAAACCCACAAGTAACATCGTGCTTAGTTGACTGAAAGCTTTCTCCCTAAGATCAGGAACAAGGCAAAGACATCCACTTTGATGACTCCTACTCAGCATTCCACTGGAGGATCTGGACAGAGCAATTAGGCAAGAAACATAAAAGCATCCAAATAGGAAAGTAGTCGGTAACGCTGTCTATTTATAGATGACAAGCTCTTATATGTACAAAATCCTAAAGAATAACCCCCCCCACACACACACACACACAGACAACTGTTTGAGCTAATAAACAAATTCAGTCAGGCTGCCAGATACTACATCAATGGAATAGAACTGAGATCCAAGAATTAAATCCATACGCATGTGCTCAATGGATTTTTTTTTTTTCAACAAAGGCACCAAGACCATTCAATGAAGGAAAGCAGTTCTTCAAACAGTAGTGCTGGGAAAAGTGCATTTACTACACGCCAAAGAGTAAAGCTGAAACCTTACCCCACAGCATATGTAAAAATTAACTTAAAAGGGATCAAATACCTAAATTTAAGAGTTAAAATTCTAGAACCCTTAGGAAAAAAACACAGGAGCCAATCTTCATGTCATTTGATTTACCAATGGTTTCTTAAATAGGACACCAAAAGCACAAGCAACAAAATCAAAAACAAATTGGACTGCATAAAAACTTAAAAATGTTGTGTATCATGGCGCCTGGGTGGCTCAGTTGGTTAAGCGTCTGCATTTGGCTTCGGTCATGATCCCAGGGTCCTGGGAATGAGCCCCACATTGGGCTCCCTGCTCAGCGGGGAGCCTGTGTCTCCTTCCCCGTGCCCAGCTCATGTTCTTTCTCACTAGCTCTCTCTCTAAAATAAATAGTTTAAAAAGTGTGTATCAAGGGACACAAAATAAAACCACCCACATGATGGTAGAAAATATTTGCAAATATTAGATATGATAAGGGTCTTTTATCAAGAATACACAGATATCACAGTAAGATACCACATCATACCCATCAAGGTGACTATAATTTAAAACACGAAACATAAGTGTTGGTAAGGTCGGAAGCCTCATACATTGCTGGAGTGGGGGGAGATGTACAGTGATGAAGCTTCTGTCAAAAACAGTTTAGCAGTTTCAGACTTGCCATTTGACTAGGCAATTCTACTCGTACCCAACAGCTGAAGACAGACACTCAGATGTGTATCTGTATCTGAATGTTCGTGTTTGCACTAGTCACAATAGCTAAAAAGTGGAAATAACCCACATGTCCATCAACAATGGATAAGTCCATTTACAGATATGGACATGGAATGAATAAAATTTATTTTATTCCATGTACAGTGGAATATTCAGCCTCAAGAAGGAGGAGTTTTGGTACATGCTACAGCATGGATGGAACCTTGAAAATATTATGCTCGGTGAAAGCAGCTAGACACAAAGGCCACATAGTGTATGATTCCACTTACATGAGACGTGCAGGACAGGCAAAGCTATGGAGACAGAAAGGAGATGGTTGGTTGCCAGGGTCTGGGGGAGTGGGGGAATGAAGATGGCCTGTTCAAGGAGGGGGATGGGGTTTCTGTTTGAAATGAAGTGTTCTGTAACTAGACAGGGCTGATGGTTTCAAGACATTGTGCATGTACTTAATGCCACTGAATTGGACAATGTAAAATGCTTTAAAAGATAATTTTTATTTTATATACATGTTAAAACAAAATACATGTAATCATCAAGCATATGAAGAAAAGGCCACAAAAGAAAAAATAAGAGAGGAAGGCAGGCCCTGGTTATGGAGCTGACACTGGAGGTGACCTGGCTGTAGCTCTGGGGTTTCCTGTGGGTGTAGATCTGCCATTAGACATGGAGGTAGCCTTGGTACTAGGGCTGGTATGGAAGTGGGCATTAGAGCTGCCTCTATCTCTGGAGCTGGTGGTAGTTGAGCTGCTTCTAACTCGGAGCTACAGCTGTCAGGGTGCTGGTTCTAGCTGCGGAGCTGATGCAGAATCCAGCACTGGTGTGGATTCTAGCTCCGGAACTAGTTCTAGACCTGGTGGTGGAGTTAGCTCTTGCTCAGACCTTGGTGCTGTTTCTAGCTCCGGAACTAGTTCTAGACCTAGAGCTGTTGCGGGAGCTGGTGGTGCTGCAGGCTCTGTCCCTGGAGTTGGTGCCACCCCTGATGATGGAGCTGGTGGTAGCTCAGAAGGTGGTGATGACCCTCACTCTGGAACTAGCTCTGGAGCTGGTGCTGGAGCTGATGCAAGAGCTGGGGTTGTGGTTGACTCCATCTCTCTGTCTGGTACCAGGGTTAGTGCTAGAGTTGGTTCTGGATCTGGCTTTGAATTTGTTTATTTTTGGAGCTGGCAACGGAGCTGACTTTAACATTGGAGCTGGTGCTAGAACTGAATTTCACTTTACTATTTGTGCTGAAGCTAGGGCTAGCTCTAGAGCTGGATAGCTCTGGAACTGGCTTCAGCTCTGGAGCTGGTGCTAGATTGATGCTATGCTAGCACAGAACTGTTGCTAGAGTTGGCTCTCGTTCTGGAACTAGTGGGCAAAGTTGGTGCTGGGGCTGGTTCTGCCTGTGCAGCTTGTGGAAGACCTGGCTGTGACTCTGGAAGTGGCCCTGGAACTGGACCCAGAGGTAGCTCTAGCTCTGCAGCTGGTACTGTGGCTGCTATTTCTGGTGCTGGAGCTGAAGACACAGCTGTCATTAGCTCTAGATCTGGCTGTAGAGCAGACATGAGCTGCGGGCAAAGGACTGTTTAACCAACGTGATTACCTTACTATATGACTCTCCCAACACAGAAAACATCCCCTTGCCTTCAGGCGAAACTCAAACCTACCCAAGAGACACATCCCAAGAAGTGTCTGCACACGGCAGTTCACCAGGGGAGTGGGCTGAGGCCACGCTCTGCTCCTGTCTTCGTGGTCCAGCCCCATCCCCCTCATCACAGCAGCCACCCCCCAGGTCTCCTGATCCTCTGGCTCGGTCTCAGTGGGCTCCAGCTGGGCAAGAGCATCTGGGCAGAGCAGCAGGTCCAAACCAGGCATGTTAAATTGTGCTTGGTTCACTAGCACGGTAAGAGAGGAAGGTATGGAGGCTGACAGAAACCCTCCAGAGACTGGTCCAGCCAGGCACCCAGGATTGAGGAGAAGGTGCTGGGGGAAGGCAGAGAGGCAGCAGAGTGAGAGGACCCCAGAGCAGTACCCACACAAACCCCTACAGCCCATACTTGGAGGGACAGCCCTTCCCTCAAGGAGGGGCGGTCCTCCTGATGAAGCAGGAAATGGATACAGATATTCATTTTCCCTCTTTGGCCTAGAAAATCACCACTGGGGAGCAGTCAAGGTAGGGTCTGGAGGGTCGCTCTCTACAGCTGGACAAGCGTCTTGCCAGGGAGTGGAGCTTGCAAGGCCACCAGTTCAACTGGTAGAGCCTGCCTTCTCCCAGATCCTACCCACTGCCCCCTGTTCCCCTCAGGGGTCAGGGTCCCCCAGGTCCCCCTCAGACCCTCTTCTGGCAGTGGCAATAGGAAGCCTGACCTTGGAGGAGAAGCTCTCAAGCACACCTCACTGAAAAGTTCCCGCAAAAGCACGGACCAGGCCCTGACCCTGCCCTCCCAGCTCCTAGGGGCCCCCATACTTGTGCTGGTGAGGACAGTCATGAGGGTGGGGCCTGGGCGAGCCCTCAGCAAGTAGAGCTGGCCAGCGCCATTGGCGCCGTCTCGGCCCTGCACCCCTAATCTCAGGGCGTAGGACTCCCTGCTCTCTCCCCAGACATGTGGGCTTGTCCTGATGGCTCCCTGCCTTTGTGGCTGTGATCCTGATTCCCTCCTTGCCACCAGTTCTGGGGCACCATGAGGTCAAGAGCTGGTATGGCCTGCGGGTCCGAGGAGCCTAGGGAACTGGGTCATAGTGCTGGCCTGAGCTAGACTGGCCCCCTCGGGCTGCCCTGCTTTACTTTCGGGTCCTCTGGCCATTTGGGGTGCCTTGCCTTTGCCCCTCTGCCCTCCAGACTGTGAGCTCCTTGAGGGCAGGGATCCCTCGGGAGTGTGGCATCTGGGTCTTACTCGCCCCCCACTCAGGAAGAGATGAGAGCATTCAGAGTCCCTCCCAGCTGTGAGGAGGTCACACTTGGGACTCAGATGGTAGTAAGAGGCAGTGTGTGCTGGGTGGGAGCCCCAGACACCAGAATGACCATCCCTGCCCCATTGCTCCCTCGGGCCCCTTGGAGATGGCATCCATACTGCAGCCCAGGTGGGACACCAGGGAATAAAACACACCTGTGGGCAGAGGAGTGGGTGCCAGGCTCCAGGGCTGTGAGAAAGACTGTGAGCCTCCCCTGTGTACCTGGGTGCCCAGTTCACTCACAAGGCCATCTCACCAGACCTGGACAATGACCACGGCCCCACTGCCAAGTGAGGACCCAAGGCTCTTATAAGGGTGGTTGCCTCTCTAGACTCTGGCTGGATTCAGAGTCGTTCAGCTCGGCCACGTTCTGAACCACACCAGCTCCCTGGCCTTCTGAGTCCCCAAGGCACTCTACTAGAAGGACCACCAGGGGTCTCAAACACAGTGGGACATCCCTGGAGGAATCCAACAGACACTTCTCTGACCATGTGGAACCCTTGGGGTCACCTGCTCCACACACCCAACTTGCAGAGGAGGAGATAGGCCTTCTCTCCTGTAGCCCCTCCACATGAGGAGGGGCAGACACAGGACCCCAAGCCCTATCCTCTCCAGGATGCTTGACCGAGGGCCCTGACCCAGGCGGGCCCCATGGTCTGTCAGCCTGGCATCTTTCCACTCCTCTTGCTCTGGGCCTGGGCATGCTGCTAGAAGGCTGGCAGAGATGTCTTCAACCTCTTTCTCCTTCCCCCTTGCCACCTCCAGTGCTGCCCCTCCTCTGGCTTCCCACCCATGCTCCCCACCTGGAAGTCTGTGTGTGTGTGTTTGGGGGGGGCAGGGTGGGAGGATGCCCAGAGGAACAGGGCCTACATGGGAGGTGGTGGATGGGAGGTGGTGGATGGGGTCCATCATGTTCCTGGGAGATCTCATTTCCAAAGCACAGCCTGTGGGGGAGGTCTGAGTGAACG